TCACCTCGTTCACCACTGAATTCTCTAATCCAGAGCATGGCACATGCAATGAGTTCATTAAGTAGTTGTTGAATGAATGAAGGCATTTAGAGACCCCTCAGGTAAACATGTTGAAGAGTAGAGAAGGAAAAGGAAAAGAAAGGAGGATTTATGGAGCACCTATTTTTTAAAAGATGGTTTATCTATTTATCTTGTCTCAGCAAATGCTTGCATCAGCTCGTGGTAGAGAGAACACTACTACTTCCATTTAATAGTGAAGAAAATTAGTCTCAGAAGTTTTGGTAACTCACACCTGTTTGACCTCCAAGCTCATGCTGTTTTCACTACCATAGTGCCTCCCAATTGGATCATTTCTAAGAATTTTCATGAAAAGTTCTTCATTCTAAATGCTAACTAGTTACATGATGTGTACATTTTTCATGATTAAAAAACTGACCTTGAAATCTAATCCCTGAAATAATACATTATATAACAAAACACACTAGCGAATAGAACTCATAGAGCCCCTGCACTCTGCTGAGAGGCAACTGGAATGGTAGACACAGCACTGGATTTGGACTTAGAGGATTAAGCTTGGGGTCAGGTCATTGATTACCAGACATGTGAGCCTTAATTCCTCATCTATAAAGCAGTGATGTTAACAGCTACCTGCCTAATGACAGAGCTGGTAAGAGATAATGTATGTAGAGCACCTAGCACTGAGCTTAATCTAAATGTCTATTAAATTTTAACCATTGTTATTATTAGTATTTATATTAGTATTGTCATTATTAATAGTAATTATAATACTTTCCTCAGAAGAGAAACACTTGTGAGTTTGTGTCTTGTATGTGGTCCTGCCTAGCAATGCAATTAGGGAGGTGGAATCACAGATCGAGTCCACCTGAGTCTTTCCAAAATTTCCATTTCATATCCACAGACTGTCCAACTAATAGTTCTGGCAGCCACCTCCGCGAAGCGTGTGTTTCGTCAGCGAAGGCAGCTTGGTTTGAGGTAGTGGATGGGTTAGGTCAACCTATCACTGCTTTTGGAAAAATAACTTAATAGTAGTAGTAACAATAGTTTTGTGATGACTTTTAAATTTTCTGGGTGTTTCCCTGTGTTTTAGCTCCTGTTTTTCTCATGCCTGTGAGAGAAGTAATATATTTTGTAGAAGCAACTTAGCCTGCTTTCCCTCTCAGCTTTGGGACTTACTGCATGTTCCTTTGTGTGCCTCAGTATTTTCAACTGTGACATGGAGTAATAACAGTTCACAATTCATACAGTTTCTGTGAAGATTAATGAGCTAACATATGTAAAGTGCCTAGTACAGTAATTGAGACATAATAAGTGTTCAGTATTAGAAACTATACTTGAGCCCTGTTTTCTTTCCCATTTTATTTTTTATGTAGTCTTTTTTTTAATTTTATTTTTTATTTTTTTATTTGTTGAGACAGGATCTTACTCTGTTGCCCAGGCTGGAGTGCAGTGGTGTGATCATAGCTCAGTGCAATGTCAGACTCTAGGGCTCAAGTGATTCTCCTGCCTCAGCCTCCTGAGTAGCTAGACTCCCGAGTAGCTGGACTGACTCCTGAGTAGCTGAACTTCTGAGTAGCTGGACTACAGTAGCTGGTGGCCCAAGCCACCACATCTGGCTAATTCTTTTATTTTTTGTAGAGATGGGATCTCACAATCCTCCCACCTCGGCCTCCCAAAGCACTGGGATTACAGGTTTTTATGTATTCTTGAAAGAACTATTATTTATTGGGTATCTTCTAAATGCAAGGCACTTTCATATTTCTTATTTCAATTAATTCTCACCTGAGACTGAAATGAAGAAACTTGTGCAGGGCCACACAGCTAATAAGTGGTAGAGCTGAAACAAAAGTCCAGGCTTCTACTTTCCAACTGTCTGCTTTTCCTAGGATACTACCCTGTCCCTCATATATCAGTTGACAATACTAGGGTTGGTGGTATTGTCATTTGGGATATATTATACTTTAAAAACTTTACAGAATACATACCTGCCTCTATCAAGCAACTTTTTTTTTTTTTAGAGAGACAGGAGTCTTACTTTGTTGCCCAAGCTGGTCTCAAACTCCTGGGTGTAAGCAATCCCGCATCAGCTGCTCTCCAGAGTAGCTGGGACTACATGTATGTGTCACTGGACCTGAGTTTTGCAACTTCTTTTTAAAGAAATGATATTATTGACATTTTGTCTGATGCTTGAAATTGTTTAAAATAGTACCCAAACACCTCTATAAGTTAGATTCAACAATATTACAGTCCACTTTAAGGAGGAACATAATTGAGTGAAACCTCACCCTGAATCACTGACCACTGCGGTTTGTTTGCATCAGTAACTTTCCCCAAGTCAATTAGATATCCAGAGTTTTGAAGCCAGTACTTACCTGCAATTCACGTTTTCATTATGTTTCACAGCTGAAATGTTACTCTAGGCCAGTAGTTCTCAAGCTTCGTGTGCGTCAGGATTACCCTGAGGGCTGGTTAAGGCACAGATTGCCCGCCTCCATCACCAGTTTCTATGTTTGTAGATCGATACGGGGCCCAAGATTTTGCATCTTTTTTCTTTTTATTTTTCTCTTTTCTTTTCTTTTTTTCTTTTCTTTTTTTTTTTTTTTTTTTTTTTTTTTTTTTGAGATGGAGCCTTTCTCTGTCACCCAGGCTGGAGTGCAGTGGCGTGATTTTGGCTCACTGTGACCTCTGCCTCCCGGGTTCAAGCAATTCTCCTGCCTCAGCCTCCCAAGTAGCTGGGATTACAGGCTTGCGTCACCATGTCCAGCTAATTTTTGTATTTTTAGTAGAGACGAGGTGTGGGATTACAGGCGTGAGCCATCGCACCCAGCCTTGTATTTTTTTTCTATGTGACATTATAGTGCTGGTCTGTGAACCTCATTTTGAGGACTACTGCTCTAGACCAGGATTCAGCAAATGTCTCCTGTAGAGGGCCAAAGAGTACATTTTTTAGGCTCTGTGGAACACATGTTCACAACTACTCAACTACCACTGTAGGTCAAAACCCGCCATAGACATTTGTAAGCAAATGAGGGTAGCTGTGGTCCAATAAACCTTTTATTTATGGGCACCAAGATTTGAATTTCATGTATTACAAAATATTGGGTTAAAAAGTTTTTTTCAACCATTAATAAATGTACCATTTTTAGGTTTTGTGCTATATAAAAACAGTCAGCAGGCCAGATTTGGCCTTTGAGCTATAGTTTTCTGACCCCTGCCATGTAGTTGTGACCTGTTGGGGACTTTTAAAACTATTGTCTGGACAGGCGCAGTGGCTCACGCCCGTAATCCCAGCACTTTGGGATTCCGAGGCGGGCAGATCATGAGGTCAGGACATTGAGACCAGCATGGCCAACATGGTGAAACCCCTTCTCTACTAAAAATACAAAAAAATTAGCCAGACCTGGTGGTGTGCCCCTGCAGTCCCAGCTACTCTGGAGGCTGAAGCAGGAGAATTGCTTGAACCTGGGAGGCAGAGGTTGCAGTGAGCCAAGATCGAGTCTCTGTACTCCAGCCTAGGCGACAGAGTGAGACTCCATCTCAAAAAAAACCAAAAAACAAGCAAACAAACAAACAAAAAAAGATTGTTCTAAATATGAAAGTAATGAAATAAAATGAATCAAAATGTTCTCCTGGCTGGATGCAGTAGCTCACGCCTGTAACCTCAACACTTTGGGAGGCCGAGGTGGGAGGATCGCTTGAGCCCAGGAGTTTAAAACCAGCCTGGGCCACACAGCAAGACCCTGTCTCTACAAAAAATACAAAAATTAGCCAGGTGTGGTAGCATGTGCCTGTGGTTCCAGCTACTCAAGAGGATGAAGTGGGAGGATTCCTTGAGCCTGAGAATCCAAGACTGCAGTGAACCATGATCGCACCACTGTGCTTTAGCCTGGGTGACAGAGCAAGACCCTGTCTCAAAGAAAAAAAAAAAAAGTCTTCCTCTCTACCTCTAGCCCCAACCACATGCCACAGAAAGAGCTACTGTTTATGAATATTAATTTCCAGAAATTGTATGGGCATGTGCAAGCTTATATAAATGTATAAGCTCCTTTTACATTAATGGGTTTTATATATGTATTTGTTAAGCATTCACTTTTTTCCTAACAGTGTATTGTGACCTCTTTCCGTATCAACACATAGAGATGATGATTTAGCCTATCCTTTTTAATAGCTCCAGAATTTTCTGTAAGTATACCATAATATATTTAATCAGTCCCCTACTGGTATTTCCTATTTGGAAACATTTGAGTTGTTTCCCACTTCTTTCTACCACAAATAATGCTGCAAGGACGATACATCTTCATACATCCATCATTGCATAGTGTCTGCAGGATAAAGTCCTAGGAGATGAACTGCTGAGTCAAAGGATATGTGCATTTAAAATTTTGATAGATATTTCTAAATTCCTGTTGTGAGTATTTTGAACCCTACCTATATTCATTTTCTTTCAGTGTTATACTTACATTTTTGCTATTTAGTCTTTATCTGACTTGAACATTCATCACAATGAATTTCAGTATAATGCCTCACTGCACGTGAACTTAACACAGAGTAGTAATCCTATGGAGGGCAAAAAGTGCAGCTGGCAATTTGTCTGTGATTCTTGAAAGGAAAACGGCTTTACAGAGTATAAAGCCATCAAAACAGTACCCTGAATCTAGGGTCGTCTTGGACATTGTCACATAAGGTATCACAGCAGAAATTGTTCTTTTTACAGCCCTGGTGCTTAGCAGATGTTTCTATATGTCTGTTTCCCGTTTACCATTGTCACGCATTTATGTAAACATAGTATTAGCTAATAAATACACTGTTACTATTGTACTAGAACTCAGAATACCACTGCTTTCCTTTCAATTTGGGGCTTTTCCTTTTTCAGTCAATAAGGTATTAGAATAATGATTTAATAGACAACGCCACAACATCTTAAAGTGGAGCACTGTGTTAGGTTGGTTTTTTACTTAGAATATGTCTATTTCTGCTCACAGGTTCTCATAGAATTTTCTCTTCACCACTCAATCATATCTACTTACACAAGCAGTCAAGCCGTCAACAAAGAAGAAATTTCTTTTTTCGGAGACAAAGAGATATTTCACACAGTATAGTTTTGCCGGCTGCAGTTTCTTCAGCTCATCCGGTTCCTAAGGTACTGTATTGCCTATTATCTGCTGCTTTTTCCAGCCAAGATAAAAGTTGACTGCAGAAGCGATCAAATATTTTTGCACCTTTGATTTCTGAGCCATTTGGGTTTTAATTTTCAAACTAGGTTTGTGATCTAAAACTGTGATTTGAGAAGTTTTAATATCCTACAGTTCTATAGCATTAATTTTTTAAAATAAAGCTCTAAGCTTTCAATTGCTTAGTGTATTTAGAATTAAAAGTTCTAACGTGAAATTTTCTATATTAAATTTCTAACACGAAGATAAAACTATATGTGCGTAGTTTTCTGTTTTAGAGAAAAAAAAAATTATAAAATCGTGATGATTCAAAAGAGATAACTTAAAACTAGCATACTAGCTTTTTTAAGCCTGTTCTTATACTTTCCTTGTTATTGATGCTGGTGTCTTTGAATCGTCTTTTAGACTAAATTAAATAAAATATGTCTCAGAGCAGTCTTTTTTTTTTTTTTTTTCAGAGATTACAGTTCTGTGGAAAGGCAATCTATCCATTTTTCAAAATGTAATATAAAGAGAATGTGCGAGCAAGCCCTTTAGGAAGAAGGAGAATAGCTAAAGAAATATAGATTGGTCACAAAAATCATCTGCTTTCTCCCTTTTATGAATTTTTTTTACAGTGAGCCCACATTTAGTACGTTACACTTCTGAAGATGAGTGGCCCACTTTTATGGCAAATGCCAATGACACAGAAAGGCCACCAGGATGTATTCCCTGGCCTGTCACAGTGAGAGTGAGAATTTGGTATTAGTCACAAAATTGACACTTTTTTTCCTTAGAAGAAAAGATAAATCTCTGGTGAGGTGAATTGCATTGTTTTAGCCATTTCAGTCAATTTCAGCGTGACAACCCAACAGCCCTTCTGCCTGCAAGTGATAACCTTGCCAGATCACAGAGCAGAGTGGAGACAAGACACAGGCTCTGTAGGGGAGACCTGGTGAGCATTTGTGGGCATTCGTGGTGTAGCTGTGGGAGAGTAGATGTTCCTCCGGAGCTCGGCTGTGGCAAACCCGGCAGTAGTGTTACCTGTATCAGAAAACTCATCTGAACAAGGGAGTAAATGAAGAGCCGTAACTCCTGCAGGGCAGGCTTCACAAAGAGGAGAGCCCTAACCTCAGCCCTTCCAGAGCTGCTGTGGTGTTTCAATTGAATAGTGTTATCTCCCTCAGATTCCTGTCCCAAACTGCTGTGGAGCCTTACTGTGGACTGTCCAACAATGCTTATAGTTTGTAATGCATTATAAACTATAAATAGTTTGTAAAGAGCTGTGCAAAACCTTGGGACTGAAAGAAGCTCTGTGTGTAAGATGGCATTTATTTTCTGAATACTGCCCATGGTGGAGAATGGTCTGCAAAAGTGATCAGGGTTGCATGTCTTGAGTTTTGGGGTGGCTTTTTGTTTACTCTTGACAAATAATGGAAATGTTTTAGGTAATTTTTATGTACTTGAAGAATAAAACTTGTTTCATTTTATTCTAGCCTCTCAGTGTTGAGTATGGTTACAACATGTAAGAAAAGTGTATATGTAATAGGCTTTAGGGAACTTGACAGTCAGCCTTTTTACATATATTCATTTGGAGAGGGTGTTGGGAGCTATCTTTTGCATAAATTATATTTTTGTGTTAAGAAGACGAAAGTGCTCCTAATTAACCATTTGGTGAATTGGAAGCTTGGTGCTATTTTTCATCAATGGTGAATATGCTTCTAACCGGGTTGGGAGGAGGAAAAAGAGAAAACTACTGTTTGTTTTGACCAGAAGTCTGCTTCAGTCCAGTTTGACTCAAAGCATGGTAAGGTTAACAGACCATCCAGAGGCAGCACTAACAGGCAATGTTAAGTTCAAAAGGGCAGGGGAAGGAACTAGGGGCAGCCTGGAGGGTCTGTTGTGCTGGCTTCGGAGGTCGGTGCTCCGGCAGGAAGGGCAGAGCTCCATGAAGCAGTAGGCTGTGTCTGAAAAAATGATCCCATTGTCGTGCGCTGGGTTCTGATCTTCGTTTTCAATCCTTTTTCCTCAAGCACATAAAGAAGCCAGACTATGTGACGACAGGCATTGTACCAGACTGGGGAGACAGCATAGAAGTTAAGAATGAAGATCAGATCCAAGGGCTTCATCAGGCTTGTCAGCTGGCCCGCCACGTCCTCCTCTTGGCTGGGAAGAGTTTAAAGGTGGCGTCTCACCAAGCCTCAGGATGACTTACATAAGGGGCAACAAACACTCCTCTTTTTTTTCCTTATCCTTAACTCTTCTTTTGTACACATCTAATTTGTTTAAAAAAAAAAATAAGTGAAGCCTTGGGATGGGGAAAAGGAATTTTATTATTTTATGTGTTTATTCAAGAAGTAATTTAAAACCCAAATTCAATTTTAACTAGCAGAATTCTAGAGATACTTTGGTCTCAGTCACCCTATCCAAGTTGATCAATGGCAAACAGCTTTGATTTTTGCCCCCTACTCCTGCCTGTAGTTTCAGCTTGTACTCCCCACATTATTTCTGTGTGCCTGAAGATTTGTTCTACCTTGTCCTTTGTCTCCTATTTTCTTGCATTTGCCCTGCAAAGAAAGATCAGGTCACATACAAAAGGCTGTAGGTAATATAGCAATGCAATTATATACAACTTTCTATTACAAGATTTAGTTCTTTCAGGCCAGACACAGTGGCTCACACCTGTGATCCCAGCACTTTGGGAGGCCGAGGTGTGTGGGTCATTTGAGGTCAGGAGTTCGAGACCAGCCTGGCCAACATGGTGAAACCCCACCTCTACTAAAAATACAAAAATTAGCCGGGCATGGTGGCGAGCACCTGTAGTCCCAGCTACTTGGGAGGCTGAGGCAGGAGAATCACTTGAACCCAGGAGGTTGAGGTTGCAGTGAGCCGAGATCATGCTGCTGTACTCCAGTCTGGGCAACAGAGTGAGACTCCATCTCAAAAAAAAAAAAAAAAAAAAAGATTTAGTTCTTTCATTTAGTTCTTTCATAATAATCTGAAGCACCATTCTATATAAGGATTATAAAAGAAAAATGTGAGCCTGTTTTCTGCCAAAAGGTGGGCAGAATTTAGGAAGTGAGATTCAAAGATAAAATCACTCACAGTAGCTTCTGTGTACCAAACTTACAACACGACTAAACATAACGTATATATAAAATAATGAAGAAAATTACTGAAGAAATGGTTAATTTTTAATAAAAGATTTTATTTTTGTTTTAGAATTTTATTTATGTTTATGGAGTTTATGGAAATAGTCTTCATATACTTATAAAACTCAATTTCAGTTTTCTTTTAGTTTGGGAGCAATTTCGTTTGGAATACCTTTAGTAAGGAAAAAATATTTTTAGAAATACATTTATTTATTTAGACATGAAAGAAATCAAGATTACTTAAAATCAAGTCTCTACAAAATGTATTAGACTCACTCTTTTAAATATCAACCATAATCTCTATGCCATTGCTGCAAAACCCCTGTAATGTTTTATTGAGATAAAAAGATGTGGGTTGACCTACTTTTCAAGTTTTTCAAGGTTCAACTGTTGAACCTTTTGAGCATTTATTCATATGCGCTGGGTAGCCCAGGGCACCAACCATTGAGAAAGAGGAAGGAATTGCTGAAGAACATAATTTTGAAATCCTCAGGCCAAAAGGGAGTTATGTCATTTAGTGACTCACAAATGATTTAGAGGATCATAGGGCTTAACATTTCTATTTCCTAATGGTCCATAACACCATCACATGCCCAAATGATTGTCCACGAGGCACAGTTGAGAATTGTAACACTAATCATAATTAATTCAATTGTTGTACCGTAAGTTTATCACAGTAAATTTATACAGTCTCACATGGAAGTGCTGTTGCTATAGCATAGTTGATAAATACAAGAAATATCTTCAATTGTTGCTGCACAATTTCTTTATTTAACATTTTAGGTTGACATGACAACTGAAGAGATAGATGCTCTTGTTCATCGGGAAATCATCAGTCATAATGCCTATCCCTCACCTCTAGGCTATGGAGGTTTTCCAAAATCTGTTTGTACCTCTGTAAACAACGTGCTCTGTCATGGTATTCCTGACAGGTATTCATTTCTTAATAACATATTGTTCTTTGGAAACTAAAACATAAAGCTAAGATCTGTAACATATGTTGAAAGACACTATCATTCAATTGAAACCCACCAGTAAACTTCTGAAATTGATTATGATAAAACAGAAATTTTAAAGTATTTTACTTCTAAATGGACACAATACCACCATTTAATGTGTGTTAAAGCAGTGCGTAATCTAGATGGGAGTTGTGCATTACATATGTCTTTTACTTCTTATATTTTAATCATATAAGTGGTAAAAATCCAAATGTGGCAAATTTTTCTTATCAACTCTCGTTTCAGTTCTTGGCAAAATTAAGGTAACAAATTAAGTGCATCTTTTGAAATAAGTTAAAGATTAGATTTAGTTATCCCGTGTATTCCTCCTTCACTCCAAATTATCATTGCGACTCATTGGGTTTGTAATAGTAGTCATTAAGTATTTATTTTTATTTTCCTTTTATTGAGATCTGTCTATCACCATTTTTTTTTTTCTGTTTATGTTTTAGTCGACCTCTTCAGGATGGAGATATTATCAACATTGATGTCACAGTGAGTAAATCATATAAAAAATCGTCTTTGATCAACTTCAGAATTGCTGGTAGCAACAGGAAGAGTGGATTGAAAATGTGAACTGCACCAGTGGAAGTGCTGTTTACTTCTAGACCCAGACGCAAGCAGCTGGTTTCCTTTTTTGTCTTTAACTCTGTGTTTATTCCAAGTAAACCCAGGCCTGACTTGAATTTAGGGCTGCAATCAGATGCACTGAGATCAATGTTGGCCTAAGTGAAATGTCAACCCAATCCTGCTATGTGTCATGTTTTTGAGAAGGTGTAATTGTTATTGATCCACTGTGTAGTTAACGCAGAGCACCACAGCACTGGGCAGCTGCTGAAGCTAGATATGTATGAGATGAGCTAACACGAAGAAAGCCAGCATTTTTCCTTCACTCTGCCAAGATTGATCTTCCTCTTCCTGCTGATTTTGAGTGGGGCCTGTCATTATCTTACTCTGTCATTAGGGGCTACATTGGCCTGTGTATGTCAGTCTATTTGGACAGCAACTCTTTTGCTAGCAGTGTTCCCTAGATTTATTAAAATCCCTGAAGGTAACGTCGAGTTCCATTTCTGGTATAGAGAGCCTTGCGCTCAAAGTAAGCAGAGGGCTTTTTGCCTGAACTTAAGTTTTCACCAAATGGTTAATAGCCTTTCTTTTAAGTAACAAGCCTAAGTAATTTAACATAGGGACTTCAAATTATACAAGATGTAACTTTTTCTCATTTTCTTAGCCTTTTACCATTCTCAGACTTGGATTATGTGTACTTTTACATTTCTATTTATTAAAGAATTTTGTAATGATACCTTTGGATTATGTAGATTATAAATAAATTCTGTACATCTAATGATTAACAAATATATTTTAAATAAATAAACAAAATTTAAACATCTTAGGAGAACTAGTTGAAATGACAACATTCAAGGAATACAGTTTCTATTAATAAGGAAGTGTTTTTAAGAATAGTAACTAGACCATGAAACTTAGGTAGGAGTGGGAATGAGATAAAAATAGGAATCCAATGGTGGAATTCAGTCTGATTTTTAGTTAAGTTAACTCAACCTTTTTTCTTCATATCAGTCATATGAGGAGATAGCCAGCGATTCTTTTATTGCTGATACCATTTCCTGTATCATTTTGTCGTACTTAAAATGCTTGAACACTTGCACCACATACATCCTGTTGGTATCTTTCCAACTTAGAATCATGCAGAAGGAGGTGTTTTATGAAGCATACCTAAAATAAAGTGCTTTTCATAAGACACTTTTATTTTGGATTGTACCTGATTTTAGGGTTTTACATCTATTATCTCATCTAGTCACCCTATCATGAAATGTTACCATTTTAATGTTTTGAATGAAGTCAGCTGCTCTTCCCTACTGTTTCCAGTGTATCTAAAGAAAATACTCTATTCCTTTTCTAAGTTTCCTGAATACTTAATAAACAGTTTTGTATCTAACATTCAAATTATTTCACAACTGTAAAACTTATAAAGCAAAGTGAAATACTTCCAAGTGTCTAGAAATGTGAAGGAATCTAGGAAACATATAGGTCCGTATCTTAACAAATTACATTTCTTATAAAATATTTTATTAAGTGAAGGACTCCATTATCAGATCCTATATTTCTATCAGAAAATACTCATTGCATTTTAGAATTATTTACGTCTAGTATACATCACAAGAAAATAGATTTCCTTCCCCCCTTTAAAATTGAAAAATGTTTTTCTTAAAGACAATGTAATGTCCATAGTAGTTGCTCAGTAAATATTTGTTAAATAAATGAAGTACAAGGACCAGGCACAGTGGCTCATGCCCGAAATCCCAGCACTTTGAGAGGCCAAGGCGGGTGGATCACCTGAGGTCAGGAGTTCAAGACCAGCCTGGCCAACATGGCGAAACCCCATCTCTACTAAAAATACTAAAAATATAAAAATTAGCCCGGCTTGGGGGCAGGAGCCTGTAATCCCACCTACTTAGGAGGCTGAGGCAGGAGAATTGCTTGAACCTGGGAAGCAGAGGTTGCAGTGAGCTGAGATCACGCCCCTGCACTCCAGCCTGGGTGACAGAGTGAGACTCTGTCTCAAAAAATAAATAAATAAACAAACGAAGTACAAGACAAGACTAGTTTGTGGGTATAAATAGAAATTGTAGATGGCTACCACAGACTTTCAAAAGTATTGTATTTCTGTATATAGTGAATCTTTCAAGTAGTCTTTTTTTTTTTTTTGAGACGGAGTTTCCCTCTGTTGCCCAGGCTGGAGTGCAGTGGTAGGATCTCAGCTCACTGCAAACTCCACCTTAAGGGTTCAAGTGATTCTCCTGCCTCAGCCTCCCCAGTAACTGAGACTACAGGTACGCGCCACCACACCCAGCTAATTTTTGTATTTTAAGTAGAGGCAGGGTTTTACCATGTTGTTCCAGGCTGGTCTTGAACTCCTGACCTCAAGTGATCTGCCCGCCTCCACCTCCCAAAGTGCTGGAATTATGGGTGTGAGCCACTGCACCAGTCTCAAGCAGTCGTTTTGATGTTCTTTCCTTCCTTCCTTCCTTCCTTCCTTCCTTATAATGAATCCTGGTATCTTCAAGATTCCTACTTGCGCTTCTGAATCACTGAAGAATGAATAAAATTACCTTTCTGTAAATGTGCTTTAAGCCTGTTTATTATATTCTAATTCTTTAGATATCCATGTATAGTGCTTTCTGTAACATTGCCATCTGAACATTTGATCAGATTTCACTTCTTGGCCGGGCGTGGTGGCTCACACCTGTAATCCCAGCACTTTGAGAGGCCGAGGCGGGCAGATCACGAGGTCAGGAGATCGAGACACGGTGAAACCCGTTTCTATTAAAAATACAATAAAATGAGCCGGGCGGGTGGCGGGCACCTGTAGTCCCCAGCTAACTCTGTGGCTGAGGCCAGAGAATG